AAATAAGTATGCCATTTTACAAAAAAGCCATTCCTGGAATCTTTCTCACAGAAGTTCAAAATAGGTCAGTAAGGAACTGAAGAGTAAGAAGTCTGTGTTTTGGTCATTGTGAAAAAGATTATTATAATTTTACCACAGAAAGGCTTGGAAGCCAGGTGCCTTCCCAGAAAGGTCAGAATATTATAAAATGATTAAAAGCTCTTAATTTTTTTTTAAATTAACAGTGTGTGTCATATATCCTTTCCTCAGTACGAAGTTACCTAAACTATTGAAAAGTATGACACTGAAAAGAATTTATTTTATCCTCTGCACTTCAATGACTTAAAGCACAAATGTCCTTAAAGGAGTTTGTACAACACTGAAGAGCATCAAGACAGCTGAATAGTTTTAAAAGCGATATACTTCTACAGCTATACTTGCATGTCTAGAGCTCAGCCCATGACTAAAATTAAAGGATGACTAAGCCGAAGAGATGAGTCTTACTGAAAAGCAAACTAGAACAAAGGAAAAAGATGAAACTGAAAATACCTGTAGGAGAGAAATATGCAGGAGATGAAGGCTGTGCTTGCCAAACTGGTTGGTTATTGGAAGTAGGCATATTCCAACTTTGTCAGAAAGATTCTGGAATTCTGTCACTAAGTAACAGGAATGACAAAGAATAAAGAATGTTTGTGGAAAGACTGAGGTTCTGAGAACCTAGAAGATACCACTTCCTTGTCTACCTTCTTAGGAGCAGAAGGATTAATCCTACACATATTACCTGAAATGTCTTTTCCTGGATAGTGATATAGGGACCAACAGCTGAACTCCATCAACTTTGCGTTTTGCTGTATTTCTGAGGAAGACTTTTGGTAAAGAGGCACTTTTCAAACTATGAAAACATGCTGCTGGAGCAGAAAGAAAAGAGGCAAAAAAAGAGATTAACATTAAACACCTACCTTTGTGACCTGGTAAGAAGAAAAAGACTTATATGATATAGGGAAGAAAGTGTGGTCTTCTAGATACCATTACTGATGTATTAAGATAAATCATAATAGGAAGTTACTTAAAAGGAACTTTTGGAATGAGATCTTACAGTATGGTCTTTGCATCTATGCAAAGACCTGTTTGAAAAATGTACAAAAATGTTAAGTACATCAAGACACTTCTTCGGACAGACTGAGGCAGTGTTATGTTGTGGGTGATATGTGGTATTCTGGAACAAAATTGGAGTGGTTTATCATTCTAGAAGCAACTTCAATCTCATCAGTTAAAATCTCTGACAGTTAAAATCTTTTACCTGTTCTTTACAAGATAAAAAAAAAAAAAGCCCAGTGTCACAAGAACAATTCTGTTATTTATGAAATTGACTTGATATTGAGGGTGTGTAACTTGTAATGTCAGTGGAGTAAGAATACAGGAAAGGGCATTGCAGCTCCCTAAAGTCAAAGTTTCATATATGATAGGAGCATTTTCGGAGGAGTTAAATGTCAGATTCTTAAATGCTTAGGATGCATGATTTGGATCAGATTGTAAAGAGCACCAAGACAAGGAATACTTCAAATTTGGCCCTTAAGAGTGTGTTGTCCCTTGCTTAGTATAGCTTCCCGTTCTGATGCATAATTTTGAAAAGTTGGTTGACCATATGTTAAATTGCTACATATGCTCTAAATTGTTCACACTACTTTTTACTCATGAGTACCTGTAGAAACAAATAGGGAAGCAGAAAATGGAGAAAAAAGGTAGCTAGCGAGGGTTATGTTTTACAAGTGATGAATAATTGCATATTTCTTGCTTTCTAGTAAATATTGTCAATAGAGTTTGGGGAACTATTCAGCTCATCAGCCAGTAAGTGCAAGGATAGTGTTTTTAGGATCCTGCTGCCACTCCAGAAGGCAGCAGATCTTTTGTAGGTCCTGTCTGTCAACCTGGTGTGGACATCTCAAAACCCTTCAGTAGCTCAAATGGCTCAAATGTGAGCAGATGAATTGAGCTGTAGGTATCTGGTTTTGGAGGAGGCTCCATAGACTTTTTTGTCTATATCTCAATTGAGTGAAATGGGAGACAACTTACCTTCAAGGTGAGCCCCTTCATGTAGCATCCTAGATAGAGGTGTCTCTGAAGTTTCATCTCTAGCTCATGTGTCAAATACTTACATTCAGTGTTGATTTCAAACTGAACCCTGCACAGTTTCCTCCTCATACTTAATTTAGCAAAGTCACTCATTTTATTTATTTGTTTGTTTGTTTTTTTGTTGTGAGGCTATGCGCCTAATTACAGTACAAGCCAACACCAGGTTCTCTAGAGATATCTTTAATGAAGTGGAATTAAGTTTGTCCTGGGAGTAGACAAGTTTTAGGAAAAATACTGGACAGTGGACAGTATCCTAGGTGATTTCTGTTGCCAGGATTATAACACAGTAAATTCCATTTCTCTGCTGTGTCATGTAGACCAGCTTGCACAAAAATGGCATTTTGCAGAAGTTACAAAATAGCTCTGATCATCTGAGTTATTTACTGAACACATTTTTGCACATTTCCTTTTTTGAAAAATTTTAAAGTGAAGTCTAAATGTAAAGTTAATATTTTATCACAGACAAAATTCATTTTTCTACACAAAATCTCTAGTAAGGAAGACAGCTTATATTGATATTCCAGCACCATTAGTTTATCACTATGACTTTTTAGAACTACAGAGTATTTCAATTTGTTATTAGTAGCATTTCCCTTTATTATTGTAGCTAGTTTTGATAAAGACAAAAAATTGCTATAGACTATATTATTGATTGTGGAATTATGAAGTAAGGAAATAAAAAATGAGTTAAGGTATTAAATTAATTTATTTTCCATTTCTACATAGTTCAATCCCATGTTTTGTTGGGGTTAAAGGGTATTTTACAAATGAATTGATAAAGCCAGTATATATGGTTTTCTCACAGAGTTTGTCTACTATCTCATATTATATGTGGCTAAAACTCATTATCTGTTTTGTTTGTGCAGTAATTATATTTTGTTGTCCTGTGCATTCCTTTTGCTCTATCCATCTCATAATACGTGCTGTAAAAGCACACATAAATAAATAGGATAAACAAATTAAGCTGTTTAAATAAATTAATTTACTCTGCAGCTCTGTATTCAAATCTTATGTGCTCACTGGATTTCATTTTAATGAAACCCTTCTAAGAACAATACATTGTATGCCAAACAGTGAAATTATATATTAAATGAATGATTAAATATACTGTGTTCCAATTTATACCAAATCTGTACGCTGTGCATGCTTAAATCCTCCTAAATCTAAAGAAATAAATCTTCTACATTCTGAAAACATCTGCATTATAATCCTTCTCTTGAACACCCAGTTCATGGACATATAAACACAATCAAAGTCATAATAAGCCTAGAGCTATGATGCAGTTAAACTGTCCTCATCAATGTTTTTGACTTAAAAACCCGAGACTGTTAAAGTGGAATCCACTTAAATGTCTTGAAACATTGCTCTGAAAGGTCTTCTCCCACTCCATCAACAGGCTCATTGAATCCCTTTGCAATCAGAATCTCAAGTTTAGCAAATATTTATTATGAAGCTTACCTGGAACAAATTATTGATTACTATAGATGGTCATGTTGCTAAGTTTCATAGGAATGCCTTCAGAGAAATAAGTATTCATCTAGCTACTGTGCATGAAAAATAATGACTGCTGCAAAAGCGATTTGCTGTGTGAGGAACGTGATGCTCTTTTCAGGAAAACTTTTAGGCATTTGCAGCAGCAAGTTTTCATATGTGTTATTAAACATGTAGTAATTATATTATTTCATTACTGAAAGCTTTTAGTGAATTGAATGTATACAGCTGTTTTTTGTTTGTTTTTTTCTTTGGATTGGTTGGGTTTTTTTCATTAGGAGTCAGGATTTCAATTATCAAAAGGAAAAAAAACCCAACAACCAAAAAACCCCTGGTTTAACATTTTCAGTCCCTCCAATAGATTTCCCTTGTAGGAACTATTTATTTTTATCACTATTTGACCAAACCAACCTAACTCACACATATTTTAGCAATGACATAGAGTCTTGGGAGCTATTAGCAATAAAAAGGAAACTGCAGGGAAAGATAGGGAATTTTCTAGAAAGGACTATTCTGCACTCAGCTCCCTTGGTTTATTGTTTCTCTCAAAGTTCTGTGTAAATATCAGATATATCTATCTGCTACATACTGACAGTTCTCACATAGCAGAAGTGCAGTTCAAACCATCACAGTCCTCATGGTCTAATTTTCAAAATCAAGGAACATCTTGAAGTGCATCATAGCTCCTCCTGGCTACCATGCCAGGCTTTCACCTGGATAGAAAAACATAAATGAGCATTTGTCCCCATTTTGAAGTAGTGATATAGCCAGTGATACGGCCACACTCTTCCAAAAAGTGTGGTTCATTCCAGGTTTGTGCTCCACTGTATAAACAGACATTTGGACTTTCATCAGCCATGTTACTGTATTGGTTCAGTAGGAAGATTGTATTTTCTTTATGATCCATAGCAGTTCCATAAGATCTCATTGCTCAAGAAGCCCTTTTGAAATTAAAATGTGGAGTAACATTCAGCATAAGCTAAAACAGCAGTGTCTGGTCTTTATTTATTTACGAAAGTACATCGCTCCTCATCCCGTAAGGCTAAAGTCTATAAGCCAAAATGTGTACTTCCAATTCAACAGCATGCTGATAAAAGTGAGGAAAAAAACAAACTCAAAAGCAAAACAAAAACCTTATTTTTATAAGTAGTCCAGAAGGCAGTTTAAAAGCCTGACAGGATGAGCAGTACTCACATTGCATACTAAAACATAAGGTCTAGTGTCCTAAAATTGCCAAGTTTCCTTTTGAGAATACTCTGCAAATCCTGGACACCTCACTAGAGGAAAGAATAGGTTGTAATTTAGGAGGGAGACACAGTTTAGGGAAGTGATGTTTGGAAACAGAGGTTTAGTTTAACATTGCCTTTTTTTGCAATTATTTTTTTCGTGGGGTCTAGGAACGTGTTCCAGACAGTCCTTCTCCTGCTCCTTCTCTTGAAGAGGGCCGAAGACCTGGCAGCCATCCATCCTCTCATCGAAGCAGCAGTGTGTCCAGCTCTCCTGCACGGACCGAGAGTTCTTCAGACAGAATCCGTAGGTCACATTCTTCTCCTTGTCACCACTTTAAATTTGATTAGGTGCAGCTGGTTTTTCTAATCAAAATGCCCTCGTCTTAAATAGATCTCATATGTATCATGTTCAGAAGTTCAGCTGCAATAGCTATCTCCCAACATTATGTTCCCCAGTTTACAGTATCATAATATCTGATGCTACATTAACGGGTACTGATATAAACTGCCATCATGTCATATTAAACATAAAGATATGAGCTATGAAATACAGAATTGCAGCCAGGAAGCAATTTGCTAGATTAGTTTTAGAACTGAACATATAGTGTAAACATTTTTTAAAGAAACTGAGTTTTATTTAATCTGGTTACTCTGGTTTGATTTCTAAATTGATTCTGACTTCATAAGGAACATTTTACATGGGTAGAATTGCTTGATAAAGAGAAGAATTAGGTTAAATCAATTAAAAAATGTGCATACTGTAAAATTTTTTAAATATAAAAATTCGTAATGGTGAGAAATATGAGACAGAGAGTATTATCACCTAATAGCTCACAAGGGGCGGAGCGAAATTAAACCATGGTGTTTCAGAGTGATACTGTTTTTATCAGGGCTCCATGTACAGAATGTAAATTACATGGCAAAGACCCTGAATTCTATGATATTCCAGTGCAACAGTCTGGAAATTAAGGTTTTAAACACATATTATGTTACGGGTATTTACTTAAATTCATATTACACTTGTCCATTCCTTTTATTATTGCTCTGTTGCAGGTTTTGTGCTTTTAAGGCATCTTCCCACAGTGGGGTATGTCAGTAGGTGAAACTGGAGCATTTGGCAGGCAGATAGAAGGCGATGAAATAGTTACATGAAATACATAGTCGTGTTAATTAGATGCAGCACACGTGTCTTTTAGACAGCTTCTTTTCAGGCTCTCTGCAGACTCAGGAAGCTGACTCTTCATTGACGTTCAGATGAAAGATCTTTCATTACTATGTGATGAAAAATGAAAGAAGAGAAATGAGGCCTGACCATGACAAGCTGAAAATTCTGTTTTCTTATCACTTGGAAGATTCAGAGTGCAGATTAAACTGGCATCCCATATACTGTGACCTATCTATTTCCCCAGGCTCAACCCACAAGCCTTTTGTTATATTTTCTCTCCCCTGTCCAGCTGAGGAGGGGAGTGATAGAGCAGCTTTGGTGGGCACCTGGCATCCAGCCAGGGTCAACCTGCCACAGAATTCATAAGTAAAGTTCTAGAAAAAAACCTCACAACCCTGGATTTTTAGGGTTTTGATCCAATGGTATATTTTTTTACAAGTGGTGAAGACCTTTTCCATTGTTCTTTAAATAAAAAAAGTAAATTAAATTAAATTGAGAGATACTGGTTTTGCTAAGGAATGACTTTTTTTTTTAAGAAATTGTACTATTCAGCTTACTCTGCTTACTTAGCAGCAGAGAGGAGTGGGACCTTTGCACATTGTTTCTTCCAATGTGAACATAAACAGCGTTCCTTAAATACTGGATCACTTCTGTAACTTATTTATAAAATAACTCTTTTCTCTCCTATCTACTTTGTTAACATTACACCCGATTCTTAAGTACATCTGCTTTTGTGGTGCCAGCAAGAGTAAGGTGACTGGGATACATATGGAAAAATGCTATACTGAAAATGGCATAAGCCTCTTGCAAATACAGTTTTTCAGGATAAAAGCATAGGGATATAAACTTCCTTATATGGGTTTCTGAGGTGTGTTTGAGACCAATGAAGGTCTGTTTGAGAACTGTTGGAAAGAGCTTTTCAAGCTATCTGATGAGCAAATAAGTAATTCTACTGTTGTACAGTGTGTTTTGAAAGAGTGTTCGTCACCTGGAAGGCCACAATGCTTTATTTAAGGAAGTTAGGGACTGCATATTGGGAATGCTAATATACAAGAGGTTTTGTACATGTAACTAAAAAGAAAATATCCATAAGTATCTCACATGGAACCTTCTATGATTTTCTGGTTTGCTTCATTTTCATTTCAGTTCTTGTTAAATAAACAAGAAAATGTTTGCAAATATCCAACTTTGTCCAGAGATACCAAACTCTTCTTTGTAAAATGAATTGTTTTAAACCAGAAGTAACAGGAAGAAACTCTCCCGCTGTGTGGATACTGATTAGCACTAATTAAGTAACTTTGTGATTGTTAGAATTCTTGTATAATTAAGAGGAAGACTATATAAAATAAGTACAAAAGTGTATTGTTAATATGACAGCTGATTTTCTTTCTGCCTGCGCTTGTGTCTAGCAGCTGTCCATCAGAACGGGCTATCTATGAACCAAATGCTGATGGGTTTGTCACCTAATGTCCTGCCTGGACCTAAGGAGGGTGATCTGGCTGGTCATGATGTGGGACATGAGACAAAAAGAATACACATTGAGAAAGGTAATATGAATATTGTGATTCTACTGTTTCAGTGTAAAACAAGTATTGTCTCAACAGCTAAATAGTATTATAATTGTGATTTTTATTTTTTTAATTGGGATTTTTTTAATTTTATTTTTTTGTTTCACAAATTAAATTATAACAGGATGATAGCTTTCTTGATTCTTCTACTTTGTGGTCCTTGAGATTAATGAGCAATATTTATATGAGGGAGGAATTTCATAAATATTACAAAGAAGGATGAGTGAAATACAGTTTTACATTACTATTGCGTCTCTGACCCTTCTACAACACTGTTTAGGTATTAAGTTTCTGTCTCCATCCAGTTGACTTTAATGACCTACTTCCCAAAGGGACTGAGCACCGTGAAAATTAGTCCATGTGTGCAAAAAAGAAAAAGGCTAATACCAAGCCATTAAATTAGGGAATTGCATAAAATGAGGCTGGTACACATTATATAATGGGATTTAAATTTAATTGAGTATATGACCAAAGTGTTTGATCTAGGTGAATAGTCCACATGCACTTATGCTGATTATGACACCATTTCATCTCTGTTGGTATTCAAAGTTAAGTTCCTGTTCAGGTTTGTTACAGGGGATTTTGGAGGAGTGGTGGTAGAATTTTAAAAGGTGCATTCCATGTTATATTTACTTAATATATGTGAATTTTAAGTATTATAGACTAGAAACATTTTGGTTAAAAAGAGGTTAAAAATATGACATATCCTTTGAAAACATATTCTTTGGGCTTATCAGAAAAATCAGTTCTTTGAGCACAGTAAGAGAAAAAGTAAAAGGTGTAATAGCCAGACATTGAAACAGAGCTGGAGAAACTGCTGCAGTAATAAAGATTTCAGAATAAGACATTTTGTGCCATATTTTAATAGCTGTAAGATGATACCTTCTCTGTCTTGTGTTTGAACACTGAGATATGAAAAAGAATTAAAATCTGGACAATTCTATTCTGGACAGGTGGTATTTTTAATAGGATTACCAGAAAAATTAATGGAAACAACATTTCTTTTATATAAACCATTTAGTTTGGTTCATTGCACACACAACCTGTTTTAGCTTATACTATGCCCTCACTCAGCCCCTGCAAATTGTATCCCTGCTGTGAAGTATGATGTGATCAAATAGGTTTGTTTTGAATTTCCATAAATGATTTTATTTCAGCCTTTGAAGTAACTCATTTAAGTGTAATCAGACTGGTAAATCCTGCAAAGAGAAGTACATATTAAGAATTGCTACTACTTTTGCATGTCATTCGGGTTTTTTTAAAGGCTTTGTTTATAATCGTACATTTTGGTACCCCAAATGTATTTTCCAGTCTGTTGCCGATTCACTTTTTTGCAAGATCTGTTCTCAGTAAAACTGCTGAGAATTCTCTTTTTCTCTCAGTCCTTGTTTAGGTCAAACCTTCTATTTTTTGTTCTTTTTTCCCCTTCTTTTCCAGCCTACTGAATTAATGGTAAATATTCATGGGCTATGTAGATTGATAGGGTATACTAAATTAAAAATTGTTTTCTGTCATGACTACATTTATCATGTCTCTCATACCAGTCTTGTAACTTTAATCTAATCTGTATTAAAACAAGTGATTTAACTTATAGATGTTTGTGGAGATAGTAATTGTCTACTTTTGTCACTGTGAGCTTGCAATCAGATTTCTAAGCTGTTGCTTACCACTGCAAATCAGTCAGAATGCAGCCATATTTAAAAATGCAAATAAACATATGTAGGTGGTGGTACTCCTATTGTTGAAACCCCATCACCTTCATCATCTGATTCAAAAGAAGAAGAGAGGAAAACAGAAGTTCTGAATAAGTATCATGAAGCATTTAAACATTATTATCTGAGACAGGGGAAAATTTATTTACAGTCAACGGAGAATTTTAAGGGGGAACAAAGTTATAACAGAGGCAACTGATCAACATACCAGATTTTGAAAAGACTTAGCATATGTCAGAGGGGTGAATCATTTGTCTGACCTGATCTATGAGTTGGATACCGGAGATAAAATAACATTTATCTGGTATAAACATAAAACAAAGGATCTAATTTAGCCAGTCCACACAACATAGTGTAATATATTTCGAAACAGTTCATTGGCACTTGCAAACTCAATAACAGCTTGAGGGTATTCAGTCTTTTGGAGATCATATGCATTTCTATTCAAAATTCAGCTAGAATTACTATTAGTGGCAAAAATGATTTTATTTTACTGAGGTGGTTTAAGCTACCAGTAAATCTCTTGTGCAGTTTTGTTTGGGTTTTTTTTATGTTTGCCTTTAGACTGTCTTCAAAATCTGTTCTCAGGTTCTGGTGTGGGCAGCCTTGAATGACCTCACCTTCCATTGGAGTCAGGTTGTCATTATCCCACCAAGAATCAAATTAGGTTCTGTGGATCTCATTCACTGCCTATTAAACCTGGAAAGTTTGCATCAGGCTCTGGGTCAATATTTGTTGCAGGAAGAGTTTCTGTTCCCTAAGACCATGTGTACGCCATAGGTGTTGGGAACATCTTCCAGCTGCTGACTCCAGATGTGCAACTTGGCCACATCCTAGCTACATGTTGGGGCAAGACCCA